ATTGTACTCGCGCGTTTCTTTATTCTAAATTATAAGAGTATGATGTAGCGACAGAGAGACAAATCGAACGGTAGATCACCCCTTTCTGTTCGTTCGTTTTCAGAGAAGATAATTTACATTCGAATCGGACGGAGCCGCGAGTTTTCGGAGGGACGCTTTTCGCAGCGGTCGCGTAATTTCGGCTTCGCAGTGAGAGAAAGAGAGAGAAAGATAGAGACAGAGGGAGAAAGAAAGAGAGAGAGAAAATTTCGTTCGCTCGCCTGGTTCATCCGACTCGGCAAAAGCTTTCGGCGATAGCGTATGAAGCGGCCTGTACGCAGAAGCGTGTGTTTGGAGGGGAGCGTGGGCAAACGGGAGGATTGGCGAGGCGAAGGGGGTACAACGCGGTGTGCGCTGTTGGCGAGTGAACGTTGCCGCGGTGCGACGAAACGGGGGAGATGCGCGGCAACGGGAAAAGGACGTCGAGCGTGTAGTCGAACAAGGAGGGAAGGCATTACTCGTGCATGGGGCGTTACCACGGAAACCCCTATTCGTTCTCCATCCCTTCGCTCGCTCGTCAGGCTGCGCGAGAGAACGAGGGAATGAGAAACGGCGGGGGGCGGTGGAGAGGGAGACGGTGACAGAAATAGAGGGACCGAAAGGACGACCGACAGAGAAAAAGGACAAAGCGCGCGCGAGATAGAAAGAGAGAGAATGTGAGAGGGATGAGGAGTAGTGAGTTGGCCGCATGAGTCGGTCGGTGAGAGAAGGAGAGGACGAGTAAGATAGAGAGAATGGGAAAACGCGAGACAGAGAAAAAGAGATAGGGTGAGAGAGAAGAAGAACGAACGATAGGGCACGGCGACGGGTGGGAGCGAGAGAAATGGCAGCGCGATATCGAGAGGGGAGTGGGTGATGAACGAAGCGTGCGGGAGCAGGACGGGAAGCGAGAGGACGTTTGTTGGAGGAAGATAGCGGGCAAATGCGGAGCCGCCAGTGCAATCAACCCGTTGCCCACTCGCGAGGGTAAAACTATCCCGAAGTCAGACAAGGATACGTATATTGCGGAGGGAGCCTTGTCGCTATATACGTGTATATATGTATTTATATATATATACATATATATATATATATGTTTATATAATGTATACATATATATAGTATATATTTTTTATATATATATAATATATTCTCTTCTTTTCTTCAC